CATTCGAAATGAAGGTACCCCTAACAATGTTATCTCAGGAGATTCATCGAAACCAAGTTTCTCTTCGTATATTAAAAATAACTCATATTATTGTTAAAAAATGCAACTACCTGCAATTCATCAATTGATAGTCATGAGAACTTACTTGTAAACGGAAAATAAATGAATTTTACCACAATAATATGGATAGAGCTGACGCTCCCATTAAATTTCGCATGTTCGAAAATCAGATTATAAATTGCTTAGTAAAATACGAAGAGTGGCAGATTTTAAATCTGATCGAATGTTGCCAAACTCAAAGGTTTACTGATTATGGTGGTCCAACTGCTGAAAGTAGGATAAGATAATCTATCGAAAGTATTGGATTAAGTAATAAGCTAAATGTAAATAATGGAGCCGGAAAGTTGAGTAAGTACCATTTATGCTTAGTAGACAGACGGAATGAGGAAGGAGAGAGAGAGTGTGTTGAACCAGATGTACGAGATGACGCAATTCCAGTCATGCTTGTCTCTGAGCAAGTGTTTTGTAATCCCTTTGTTTTATTCCGATAGCATCGACAATAGCTTTGCTGCCTCTGAACCAAAATTTGTGCTGGAGCAATGCCCTTCGTTAACTTTGGTAGATACACTAAATGCCCAGAATGAATATTCCCCTCCAAAAATTACCAACTCAGAATACGAAGTTGGTCAGGCTCGGTCGCACGAGGTGCTTTAGGGACTGCTAGTTGAGATGCATTCACTCTACTTACTTTCCGGTGACAAGGCGACTGACAGTTGAACGAAATAGGGTGAATAGACCTCATATATGATCTGCCGGTAGTCTCGACAACCTGCCTATAAACTGATAGTTACGTTTTCCCACAAGCGCATGAGTAGGCCTCACGATGCTAGTGGATTTCAGTAATATGAGATGTATTCGCCCAATTTCGCTTAAGATTATGAAGGACTGGTAGAAGAATTTTCCCACAATGATATGAGTTGAGCTGACGTTTTCATTGAATATCACATTGCCTTGCCTCCCAAAAGTTGTTCTCATCCAGGCACCAGTGGACTGCAGTTTCGACCTCGCATCGGTCTTATCAACACCCCCACTGGGAATCGGACCAAGACAGTGCAGGATATGGGGTTGACACGGTAACCACTCGGCTACACTGCCACGAGCGCCTTTTGGGTCACAGGGCAAATGTGAATTTTCAAGGAAGACCTGGCCTTTTTGCCATATCATCTTCTTTTGGTGGAATTGTCGATTAAGCAAACGTATATCTGCTATAATAATCGACTACCATACTTTATTTTTCGAATTAATTATTGTTTTTCGTGTCTACCAGTAAATCAGTAATATGAGATTATTTACTTAAACTGACCAATATGAAAGAGAACTAGCCAAAGCATTGTAAATCCATCTCTGTTTAGATATTTTCCATTCCAGTCATGAATATGTTTTTTGGTATATCGCATGTAGGATAGAGCTGGATAGACTTATCGAGTTAATGAAAATGTGTATCTTGTGCACGAATGAGTTCCGGCTCTGACGACGTCTGCTTAAGTGGCAGGAAAGATGAAAGCTTAGTTGGTTTTTACTCTCAACGTGGAACGAGGCCTCACGAAGGGATTCAGATTGAACGTCGGAGTAACATCAAATGACTGCAGGTCAATTGCAATGGGATGTCCTCTTTCGGTGATGTCGACTCCTGAATCTCTTCATCATGCACTTTTATCGAAATGAAAGACTTCGCAGCACTGTTATCTCGAGAGATTGCTCGAGGCGCATCTACTTTTCGTATGGTTGGGAGACTTTCATTTCGCATGAAAGTGCACGAGGAAGAGATTCGTAGGCCGACCTCACCAGAAGAGGACGGCTGAATCGCGTTGAACAGCAGCCGTTTGGCTTTCATACCACGTTCAGGTTGACGCAGTTCAAGAGACCTTCTATATCGTTTCGGGTGAAAATGGGCTGAGCTTTCGTCCATCATTTGATGAGCATCATCAGCGCAGGAACTTATTCTTGTAAAAATCTTACGTAAACACTGAGTCATGCTTACAAGCTGCATTGTCATGGTTCAAGTCTCGCAGGAGGTGTTGATGGGATGTAGTTGAGGTCGAAACTGCAGTATAATCTGGATACGGATACGTTTTCGGAAGCAAGACTATGTGAAAATGGATTGCTTGGTAAAGAGATATTATTCTTAATAAGGCCCAAAGGATAATTATTTTCCAGGAATACATTTGTCAGCCATTCCAACTCTTTAATCAAATGTTTGCTATCCACTAGCCTCATAATACAAATAATCATCGACTTCAAAATTCCAACCTTAATTTTGTGACCATGGTCGGAAAAAAAATTAAGCCAAGAGCCAACATATGTTGGCTTTCTATAGACATCTCTTCCTAACTAACCATCTTCTCTAATCATGAGAACATCCGGAAAGGGAAAAGACGTACTGCTTTCCATTTCGATTGTGAACTCAATGTTTCTTTCACGTTGATTAAGTGAAAGTATGAAACTATCTAAACATTCATTATCATAAAGCCAGATAACAAAATAGTCATCCATGCATCTAACCCACAATGTGGTGATTAGTATTACCTCTACCAGAAAGTGTTCCTCCAGCCCTGACATATAATTGTCCGCCAAGCTGGCAGCTAGGCCTAATCCCATCGCGGGTCCTGGTGTTTGTTCGTACAACTTACCATCAAAGCTAGAATATGTGCTTTTCACGCATAGGTAATAGGTCTAATTATTGAAGCTACAATCAACCAAATTATTTGTGTTATCGCTGGACGCTCCTCCAGAGTTTGCATCACAGCATGAATAGCTCCTTGAACAAGCATGCTTGTGTATATAGACACAACATTAAGACTTACTAGCCTATCCTCTTCTAAAAGTATTTGCTGATCCATCAATTCCACATAATTATACGATTTTTTAGAAGTGGGTTGACCTCGTCGTAACTTTGTCTTGTTTTCAGGAAGACTATGTAGAACGCACCCAGTCCGAAGTCGTCTGCCATAGTAGTTGTTATGATTCCCAGCATCAGACAGTGGACTTGGTACATTCTCA